CGCCTGAGCCATGGACTCTGTAATATTGTTTGCATGTGCATGGTACATACAACAGTGTCTGTGTTGAGGTGTTTAGTTTTGCGTTTGAACATTGGAGTAAAGGTAAAAGGTAAATTCGGGAGATGTGAACCATCGTCATTGCACACAGTTATATACCATAAGTGCTCTGCCAACAATACGGACAGCTGATAAAAAACTCTTCGCCTGTGTCGGCGTCCGCACGTAACTCCGTAGCTACAGCGACGTTCCTCCATTCACCCCAGAGTGTCAACTCTGGTACAAATTTCCTAGAGTCTGGGTGAACCCCGAGAACCGCTCGGTTTCGAACACCGACCGTGGCTGCAGCGAGTCGCAGCTGGATTTGAAAGCGAGCCTCCAATCGTTTGCGCTAACGCGGCTCCCAGTGCATTGTACACTGTCGATTACCAGTAAAATATCCAACGCCAGACAACCAGCTAACAAACAAATCGACCAAAACAACCAACCATCTAATATACTAATCAACAAACTAGACAACCAACAAACCAACCTAAGAACACATGTTATTTACAATTTACTAAGAATAAAAGTATACCGATGGGAGTCGCCGTGGGAGAGCGCCTAGACGCGCGCCGCGGATCGGAAGGTCGTGGGTTCGCTACCTGGCGGAGCCGGACTTTTCTTCAAAAATAACCTTGGCTCCCAGGTCGACCCAGCCTCGAGTGGGTACCGGGTGCAGTCCCGGGAAGTAGAAGTGGCCGGCGTAATGCTGACCACATCACCCATCATATGCCGTTGTTCTAAAAAATATAGGTCTAGCCCTATATGGCCTATAGCCTTAAGGCATGGAAAAGGATCCTTTACTTACATTCACTTAAAAGTATACCGTAATGTAATACTCACATAACGACATGATGTGTTATTCTGGCAGTGCTTCGTCTTCGTGAAAGAGTCACACATTATTACTACTAGATAACAGTTCATAATATTACGACAGCTGGTACACGTATGAAAGGACTTTGTCATGCAACTGCATAAAGTAACGACCGCTGAAGCTCAAGTGAAACAAATATTGTGGTAGAAAAAATGTAGACTATCAGAAAAGTGCAAAATGTATCTTATGGGGACAGGAAATGACAACGATTAAGAATCCTGTCCTTGAGACAAAAAGCAAGAGTAAACTGATTTAAGAAAGAAAACATGGACAGTTTACATATATATGTAAAAAGTGTGCGTGTGTGTGTATATATATATATATATATATGAGGATTCATATGAAGAAAGGAAAAGCACCCGGGCCGTACATTTCACCTGAGGAAATCGAAGCACTGGGAGGTTTTTGAATTGAAACAATAACTAAACTTTTATACGATATTTGTAATAGTTGGTACATTCCGAATGACCTTTGAAATCCATATTTACAGCTCTGCCAATGAGACCACGCACTTTAAAAGAGGAAGACGATCGCACAATACGTCTTCTGATTCACACGACTTAAATGTTTCTGAGAATAGGCAAAGCACCTGATAATATGGATTTTATTTGTATATATATACATATTTATACAAATATATACACATATATGTAAATATATATATATATATATATATATATATATATATATATATATATACATATATACATATATATATATATATATATATATATATATATATATATATATATATATATATTATATATATATATATATATATATTCGTATATATGCACACATCTATAAATGCGTGCATATATATATATATATATATATATATATATATATATATATATATATATATATATATATATATGTGTGTGTGTGTGTGTGTGTGTGTGTATACATATATATATAACTGTATACATACATGTATATATATATATATATGTATATATATACCGCGATCGAAACCCACTGCAGGCTGCGCGGATTTTTATCGTGGTATGGGACGTCGTAGGTCGACCCAGCCTAAAATGGGTACCAGGATGGGCTGTCCTGGGAAAGTAAAGACAGCAGGCGTAATGCTGACCACATTACCCACAGAGCTAATGGTCTGTAAAAAATATGGGACGCTCTGCCCATATGCCCGATGCGCCGAAAGGCTTGAAAAGGGATCTTTACTTTTTTACTATAGACACATAAATGTATGTGTATATACATATATATGTATATTCATATACATATATATATATGTATGTGTGTGTGTGTGTGTGTGTGTGTGTATCAGACGGAGACAATAATCCACCTGAGAACTGAAAGAGGAATGGCAAGTTTTAGAAGGGCACAGGAATGAGACAGAAGGAGATTTTGTCTAGTTGCTTGGCTTGGAATAGAACATTGACCTGTGTGTGATGTTTGGACTTGAGCGCCGACACTAAGAAAACACAGTGGGTGGCTTCAAAGAAGTACAGTGGGGGTGGCAAACACTTTTGAGATTTTCGGCGGCCCCTGGAGGCTAAAACTTTGTTTAAGTATGCAGTAATAATACTAATAATAATAGTCATAGCCGAATGGTAAATACATGCGCATGAATTCATAAACACAAACTTGAAATGTACCTTCTATCTTTTTCTTTTTAAAGAATGCGGAGGGGTGGGTGGGGTTGGGGAGGGAGGGGGGGTTAGGAGGCGGTCGTGGGATTAAACCTTGTAGTGGGGGAGGGTGGGGTGGAGGGTCCGAAACAATCCGGCTCCATGAAGAATTTAATCCACAAACTCTAGATTTGCAGGCGAGAGTCTTACCGCTGCACCAAGCCGGCTTCCGTTATATACTTTAAATAATGATAGGCACTGATACATGATGACTCACCGTCATATTTAGGAGTAACCTTTGACTCAAGACTCACATGGAGAAAACAGATAGAAAAGACACAGAGCAAGGGACTCAAGAGAACACAACTGATGAGGAAGTTAGCTGGAACAGACTGGGGGGCAAACCTCAATGTCCTTAAGAGGACCTATACAGGCTATGTGAGGCCAACACTAGAATATGAAATAGCTGCTTGGGGCACAGCAGCTAAATCAAATTTTCAGAAAGTCTCAAAGATCCAACACCATGCTCTCCGTATTATGACAGGGGCAATGCGCTCCACGCCCATATCAGATATGGAAACAATTACTGGTCTTCATAATCTGGAAGATAGGAGAGACACAAAGATCCTCACCCAGCTCTCCAAATATCACCACTTTCAAGAACAACCCATGTACAGCCGACTGCAGAAACCCCAGAAGGCTAGACTAAAGAGAACTTGCTTTATTAAGAACGCAAATGCCAAGCTCGCTGTCCTTAAACTCCCTCCCATAATACCAAATGTTCCACTTAAACCTTACAACGACTGCCCCGCTTGGCTTAGGGATAGCCTACCAACAGTCAGAACCACTGTAACAGGGGTCTCCTCCAAATCATCAATGAGCAGCACTGATATGAAGTCAATTACAGAAGGAGAGATCAATAGACTTTACCCACACCAGAGTTGGATTCGAGTGTATACAGATGGTTCAGCCAAGAGAGCAGTAAGAGACGGAGGAGGAGGAATATACATAGAATGCCCAAATGGTTTAAAAATCAACCAGGCTGTACCAACAGGTTCATATTCCTCCAATTACAGAGCAGAGGCAGAAGCACTTCAAGCGGCATGTTCTTTCCTGAATGGACAACAGCACAGCAAATATAGCAGAGTGGTCTTTCTGACTGATGCTATGTCAGTTCTACAAGCAATTGTTAACCCAAAAGACACTCAGTTTGTAGACCTGACGCAACAGCTGATTTACTTAGGCTCTTCAGTAGAACAATCTGTACTGCAGTGGATGCCAGGTCACTGTGGCTTGGAAGGCAATGAAATAGCGGACAGATTGGCCAGAAGCGGCAGTGACATGGTACAACCAAATAGCGACTTAACCCACCAAGAGATGAAAACACTAATACAATCTAGTATCCAAGAAAGGTGGCTGGATACCCACACCAGATTTTCTCCCCAAGACTCACTTCATCGCCTCTCTAGAGAGGGACAGTCTATTATTTTCAGACTAAGGACAGGGCACAACAGATTTCGTCAACATATGTTCAAATTTTTTGGTGTAGGAAATACGGAGACGTGTCCCTGCAGCGTGGCACCCGAAAATGCTGAGCATGTGCTCCAACACTGTCAACTGTATGCTGACAACAGAGATGCAATCTGGCCTGTTCCAACCACAATGAAGACAAAACTGTATGGTACACAAGAGGATATGGATTGCACGATAGCTTTCATAAAGGTTACCGGCCTCCTGATATAAGTTTTCTGACAGAAGGATCGAAGAAGAAGAAGTGCCCCTTAACTCTTTCAATATCAGGGGGTTTAGCATCAGAGGCCCAAGGAATAGTCAGAAGGCACGTAAAATCAGCGCATTTTGCGTTCTTTGGGTTTTTTAGATAGGAACCTATAAACGCATGAAATGCTCCTTGGGACTAAAAGAGTTAATTGTTCCAAGTCAGCGTCTCTGGCTTAGACGTTGCGAAAGCTCCTCGTTGTAATGCCGGGGGTGGCGGGTTCAATCCTGCTGCGGGCCTTGCACCGTGCTTTGCTTTCGACAGTAGTATCGAGAAGCCGACCACCGAAAAAAAAAGGCAAACTACTGGACATAAACTTGCCTAGAAAAACCTCAACAGCTAAAAACAAATGCTGGGGTTGGTTCTGCAACGTCCTGTAAAGAATACGCCACTAACTCAATTCTACCAGACAAGTATATGGGTTGTCTCTACGTGTTTCACTACTGATCTCTGCCTGTGAAATGTGAGTTATCTCTCAACTTATTTTAATGTCCAAATATTCCTTAATTTTTTTTCTTTGCTTCATTATGTTTTGTTTTGCTTATTGCAACATCTATCATTTCGTTTGAAACAACATCTGTTTGAGGTTTAATAAATTGCGATGTTTTGACTGACGCTGATAGAAAGATGTAGAGAGAGAGGAGGACATATTAAACAAAATCACTTATTTCTATGTTATCGTAACTTGTTTCTGTAGCGGTTCTTGAGAGTTGAAATGCGTGCACCCCAGAAGCTCAATTATAACATGCAGTTTAACCGTAATTAAACTTTTTTTCATCTTTGGTTTTTGTTCACACTTGTGCATCTTTCAAAAATTTATATTGACAATTCCAATTCTTGTTTTAATAGATGTACACGATTACAGTACAAAGCTATCTCAACTGCCCCCAGGGGTTCTTGAGCAAATTGTCCATGAGAAACAACAAGAAAGTTGCAAATAATTTAATTTCGTTTGCCTGTTTTGTCATAATAATGATAACCACCAGAGGGAAAATTCGAAGTAAATCTGTTAGATTACCAAATAGCATTGCTCTCTTTGACCGGGAAAGGGGAGGGGGTCTCGAGGCATGGTGTCCGCCTCGAGTGCTGGAGGTTCTGGGTTCAGTCCTCGGTAAGGGTAGGGATTTTTTTCACGTGGACTTGGATTTCTAGTTATTTCTCCTAGTCTCAGGGTAGTGAGATCAGACGCCCGTGTGCAATGTTGTTCACGTAAAAAAAATCCCGTGGCCTTGGGAAATCGAAAAGAGTAGCCTAACCTTGCTGGCCGGGCAAAATTTGGAGTTGTAAATGTACCTTAAGTATTTCAGGATCCTCGTTACGGAGCCAGTGCACTGTGCTGAGCTTCTTGGGTCTCAGACTGCAGTTAGAAGAAGAACGGATCACATATGGGTTACTACCCGTGTGCCATGCTATTGATCCATTTTTCAAATTTCAAACTTCAAACTTCTCTTTGACGGCTGAGAGGGATTTTGTTCATTTTATTCTTAAATTAAAAGAGTTGTTGTAAGCCATTTTATTTTCTTCTTTTTAAAGTCCATGGGGCCGCGTGGCTTTGGTAGTCATGTCTTTTCCCATCCTTCTGTCTCAAGTACTTTCAGCCAGCTTTAACACATATGATCCTCCATGCGACGATGTTAAACTGGCCTGCATCTTTTCTCTCGGTCTTCCTCTGCCTCACTTCCCCTCCATCTTTCCTACTGTCATTATGTACTCTAGTTTTCACAATTTACTCCCTTTGTTACAAATTTGTTGGCAAAAGTGAAAACCTCAGTGGGCCTAATCTTAGTTTCGAAGAAATAATAATAATAATAATAATAATAATAATAATAATAATAATAATAATAATAATAATAATAATAAAATAATAATAATAATAATAATAATAATAACAATCATAATTATAAAGTCCTTAATAGCAAAAATGTATAATAATATATGTGATATATTATAAAATGCATAATCAAAGTGCCCAATTAATCCCTACAAATTATTGGAGTGCTTAGCCCCCATGCCCCCCCTCCCCCCGCCCCCCCCCCCCCCCAAAAAAAAAAAGTAATTTTGGTAGGAAGTCTAGAAGAATGTGAAAAAAAGGGGGGGGGGGGGATTCTTAACGACAACCCTGTCCCCGCAGTTTTCTGATTTGTCATCTGTAAAGATGGGGCCGGAGCGCTTATGTGCGTGTCCCGAGTGCTGTGATGTCAATTCTTAATTCAACACTCAACATATAACATCGGTGTGTGTGTGTGTGTGTGTGTGTGTGTGTGTGTGTAATTTTTAATATGTAATTTGGTCAACCAATTCTTTTCCTGATTACCCCATGTGGAAGAAAAGATTCATAGGAATGTATAACAGTCTTTGGGCGTATAGGTGTTATCATAGTCAACCCATGTTGATTGTTTTTGTAAAGTTTGTGGCTTCAATCAGTTCACTTGAGGGCATCTTTATAGTTCTTTACAGCACACATATGTTCTGGACAGAGCAAAGAATGACAGATTATACGGCAGTTTTCTGAATCAATATTTGAATATGTTTTTTTTTTAGTGGGGGGGGGGGGGGGGGGGGGTGGGGGGGGGGGGGTTTATATTTTTATAGCTTAATTGTAGACGATGCCAATATGTAAATGGTTATAAATAACATTTAACACGACTGCACGACCCAAAACACATGCCCCGGCCATTTGTGGCTACATCAACCAATACAGAACAGTGAACACACAAAGAAACATAGTCGAGTGAAGATCCGAGCACTCACGGATTTGATAGACGGGCATTGAAAATAGTCCTGTATTGAACAATGAATATAGAACAAACAACACATAACACGAGAGCCCGATAAACGAAAAAAAACATTGCTGGTCAAAAGTTTTAGATTGCTTAGTATTATCGAGTGTTGCATCATCTGCTATTTTAGAGCAAATGGTGACTGCGATGATCGCCTTTATTTAGCAAATAAATAACAGTGGTTACATTTCTCTATACCATTATGGAAAAATCAGTTATTTCCTAGGTTATTTAGGTCGTCTGATCGCCATTTTACATAACTTCAAACAGAAAAAGAGAAAAAAAGATGAGCTATTACCCTGGTTTTATCTGCATATACATAAGTGAAGATGAAAGAGAAAAGCAAAGACAGCAAATTTCCACAACCAACCAGACTTTAACTCTCTGGGGTGACAATTCTCTTGCGTTAGCGTGCAAAATGAGACACCCTGAGCTGAGTTATCCAGGATCCAGGTTTTAAAAATTAAAGTGTCACAGATGTGTGCTTTGTGGGCCATTCATTTCGCTTTGCGTGCATATACAATATATGTATACATATATATATGTATATTTTGATTCCGCAAAGAAGTAGCTTTTTTAATGAATCTAGTGCCGCAGGTCAACCTGGCCTGAAATAGGTATCAAGAAAATGTCCGGGAAAGGAAAGATTGTGATTTTTTTTACCAATGAGTGCCGATTTCCCTAAAAACATATAAAAGTAAAGTAAAGATCCCTTTTCACGCCTGTTGGCGCATTGGGCATATGGGAAGAGCACCCATATTTTTATAGACCAGTTCAGCACTAGTTGGGTAATGTGGTCAGCATTACGCTGGTCGTCTTTACTAACCCAGGACAGCCATGCTGGTACCTATTTTAGGCTGGGTCGACCTGCGACACCCCATACTATAATAAAAATCCACGCAGCCAGCAGTGGGTTTAGTTCGCAGTACGATTGAATTACGAGTCGGACTCGCAACGCCTAAGCCACAGAGGCTGCAAAAAAAAAAAAGATACAGGCGAAGTCAATATACACGAAGCGCCACTGTCGTTAAATTTGCGCTCCACGTCAATCATTACCAGTAACTAAACACATCCATTGCGAAAGATAATCAGCCAGTCTTTCATTAAGATTACGAATGTGCCCAATGATTTTACTCCAGCCAATAGTGTATGTATACAGGAGCACTAAGACGCCATTCCTGATTTTACTTGGCTGTAATTACTTTGCCTGTATCTTTTATATTAAAACACTATCATCTGGAAGATGAAAATGTGTTAAGAAATAAGCAGTGTTGATAATAACCTTCCCAATCTTGGCATACTCAATATGCATCTATATTTAACATACCAAGTCTCATTACTTCACAACTCAATTGTAATGTATGTCATTCCACTATCTGTGTAATGTTGTGTAATGTTTTTTTATAGAATACTAGCTGTACCCGGCCACGCGTTGCTGTGGCATAGTTTGGCTAAATGGAAATGAAAGAAAATAGAAATCGCACGTGTCTAATACAATCATTGTCTGCTCAGATATAGAGATAGTCTTTGATCCCCCCCCCCTCACCACCACCACAACTAAATCCACCTACTACTCTCTCCCTCATCAAAGGTATTTTTTTTGGAAAAGAAAGACAATGGAAATCGCACGTGTCTAATATAGTTAATGTCGCAATCATTCTCTGCACATATATCGAGATAGTCTGGTTTTTTTAACTTTAGAACACGCATTGCTTATAATTGTGTCTTTATATTAGTGGTCGTTTAAATGGTGTTATTAGCACAGTAACAAAATAATGGTTTATTTGGTTATCACATGCTAAAAGCTGTTTGTATTTTTATAGGGGACGGAAGTAAAGCTACAACTGTACTTGTGAATAACAAAGTAAGTCGTAAAAAATAGAATAGCGGAGGCAGCGTTAGTAAAATATAAATATATTAGGTAATGAGAACTTGAAAATCACGTGTAAAGCTTTTTAAGCTCTCTTAAATTTAAGTCATTAACCCCTCCCTTCCCCTCTTCCACTGACTACTGCTCTCTCCCTCTTCGAAGGATTTGAAAATAACTACCTGGCGATATTTTGTTGTTGCTGTAACTGACATTGACATCCCTGCCCATCTGGACTAAAATGGGGAGCAGGAATTGTAATAGGTAGGGAATGGGGCTAGTGTAATATTTACCACATCATCCTTCACGACCACCACCACAGTAGCTAAAAAATATGTCAGCTATTCTGTGTCTTACCATCGGAGTAGACAGAGAGTCGTGAGCCAGAAGATTTGGTTCCGCATGGCTAGTGCTGTCGCCACAGACTGGCCAGGTTAGGATGTATAATTTCACTTCCCGACAGAAGAACGCCATAACCTTACCGGCGGTCTTCACATGAGAGCACTATGGTGTAACAGCCCAACCACAACTATTACTGCTGCTGCTACTTTAAGTGGGTTTAAAGCAGGTACTGTGACAGTTAGTGACTTAGAGGCTCTCTCATTAATAGTTTGCCCCCCTCCTCCCCCCCTCCCCCCCCCCCCCCCCCCCCCCCCCCCTAAATTCACCGACAACTCTTTCAATCATTTGGGAGGGAAAAAAAACTTGAAAAGCAAATGAACACAGGAAAAAAAAACACCATAATTAGGAAATTAACGCCATGGTAAACAGCACAGCTTAAAATTCCAACTCAGATGAAATAACTAAATCTAAATGAAAAAAAAAATGGAAATCTATGAAATTTCAGCGTAACCATGCAATCGGAAAGTTTAAAAATGCAATCATAAGTATGCAAAATGGTCAAATTTAATTATCAAATGGTTTACCCATTTACTTGTCTTTTTTTTTTTTTCCAAGTATTAAGGCAACATGGCTAGTGCTGTCACCACGACAGAGCAGATGAGGATATTATTTTAGTCCGGGGTAAAAAAAAAAATTAACTCCTGCGGATTCGAACCTTGGTCTCCCGCACAGGAACCCAGTGTTCTAACCATTCGACCAAGCAGCCACTTAATCAGATCAACGAAAAGAGAACTAAACTATTTTAAGTGTCTGCAGTATCCCGATTATAGCACAACTCAAAACTGCAGGCAATTGTTTTCTCATAGGCAGATATTCCAAATATAATAATGAAACGGCACAACAAAAGAAATCGCACGTGTCTAACACGGTTAATGTCGCAGTCAATGTCTGCGCAGACGTCGAGATAGTCCCTAATGCCCCCCCCCCTCTTTTTCCCTACCAATTCATCGGCTACTTTTCAACTCATCAAAGGATGTTTGAAAAAAAAAAATAGAAATCGTGTCTAATATAGTTATTGTGGTATTCACTGCCTGCACAGATATAGATATAGTCTTGTTTGCTGTACCACGACCTACTCTATGTTTTAGAGGAGGTGTTGGCTGCACGGCGCATGCGCAATTACTAACGTGGCTATAATTAGAAATCACTAAAATTATAAATATTAGTTTCGAATATTAAGGATTAAATTGTGGTCACCTATCTCTAACAGTGACAGGTTGAATTTCAAACCATGATGGTTCAGCATCCGGTATCAAAACAAACATATCCTGAAAATTTCAGCTAAATCGGTTCAGTAGTTTCCGAGTCTATAGGGGGCAAACAAACACACAAACAATGATTTATATATATAGATTATTTTCAATTATTGTGTACAGACAGTAAAAAAATATTTAAAAAATCAAAAATTTAACCAAGGGGATAAGTAAAAGTAAAGTAAAGATCCCTTTACACGCCCTTAGGCGCATCGGGCATATGGGAAGAGTACCCATATTTTTACACACCAATCGGCACTCGGTGGGTAATGTGGTCAGCATTATGCCGGCCGTCTTTACTTTCCCAGGACAGCCCATCCTGGTACCCATTTGAGGCTGGGTCGACCTGCGACGTCCCATACCACGATAAAAATCCATGCAGCCCACGCAGGTTTCGATCGCGGTACGTTGGATTACGAGGCAGACTGGCAACGACTTAGCCACGGACGCCGCTACCAAGGGGATAATGTATTCCTAATTTTCCACACAGAGTCAAATTGTTGACCTAATGATCTTTTTACAGGACAAATTGTCTTCATAACTGTCCACATTCAGGGGCAAATTGTTTCCATAACTGTCCACATTCAGGGGCAAATTGTTTCCATAACTGTCCACATTCAGGGGCAAATTGTTTCCATAACTGTCCACATTCAGGGGCAAATTGTTTCCATAACTGTCCACATTCAGGGGCAAATTGTTTTCATTACTGTCCCCATTCAGGGGCAAATTGTTTTCATTACTGTCCCCATTCAGGGGCAAATTGTCTTCATAACTGTCCACATTCAGGGGCAAATTGTTTCCATAACTGTCCACATTCAGGGGCAAATTGTTTCCATAACTGTCCACATTCAGGGGTAAATTGTTTCCATAACTGTCCACATTCAGGGGCAAATTGTTTTCATTACTGTCCCCATTCAGGGGCAAATTGTTTTCATAACTGTCCACATTCAGGGGCAAATTGTTTTCACAGTTTTCCACACAAAGGTACACAGTGTTCGTATGCTTTTGACATACTACTTCAAATCTTTGCAGGTACTCTGTGGAAATGGAACTGTTCACAGTAGAGAATAACACACTTCTCTATCAAAATAGCAATAAACAGGAGGATGGTCGACTGCGTCCAGAGCCATTTCTGCCCATCTACATCACAGTCTACGTGACCATCATCAATATCATCATCTTCGTTGTGGGCATTGTTGGGAATGTTCTAGTGATCGCTGTGGTTGCCAGGGTCAAGGATATGAGAACTTCTATGAACTTGTACTTGGTGAACCTGAGTGTGGCTGACCTTCTAGTGCTGTTTATTTGTCAACCTACGGCTATGCTGGAGCTCTTCGCCAAGGAGCGCTGGTTTCTGGGAGATATCGTTTGTAAGTATATCCTGCTACTGGTGTGTCATAATTGTGAATATTTCTCATCGGGGTTTAGTATTTCCTCGCCGATAATTATATCAATGAACGATTACCATAATAGGCCAGATGATAGATCTGACTATTTGTCTTGCTCAGAGCAAAGGCAATACGGACGTTTAATCTGAATGCTGCTGTTACCATTAGTACAGGAACTCTTCACTGGCTGCTGAGGATGATGACGGAGTGCTTATAGGAACACCCCGAGTGCTGTAATGTCAGTTCTTGAATCAACTCACTATTTGTCTTGGAAAGTCGGTGCTAAATTGTATAGCTGACAGTTCGGAAATTTTTTTATTCAAGACCGATTTTTGGAATCTTCATTGCCTCGCCCTTGTGATCGGTTTCTATTTTTGTTTGAAGTGAGGTTCTGGAAAAGTTAATACACCGGCGACGAATATCTTATTTAATTTAAACAAAACAGTCAGCTGCAGAGCTTCTGGAGAAACTGTAAATGAAAAAAAAAAAAAAAATGCTGAAAGTAAAACAGTGATGCACATGCAATATTTTGCAAAATGAGGAAGAGCACTCTTAAAAAATACACTGGAGGGAAAAGATAAAGGCACTTACTTATGCAAGGGCAAAAAGGATACAAGTGAAATGATACGACGCAGAGATGGACGAGCGGTAGTCTCAGGTAGTGTACAATTTAGAGAAGAGACAAAACATTTCAGAGATTCTTCACAGCCAACATTTGCCATGGAAACGGCGCCTGATCAATGGTTTATTTTGATTTTGTGCATATTATCAATGCACTCAACAATGGGTGTGAGCGTACTGAATTCTGCTGTCTACTCTTCTCACATATATGTATTGTCCCTCTTTTCAATACTGTTTCAAACATCTCATTCATAGAACAAGCCATGTCACTGACTGGGACGGAATCCCAGACTACTGTGCTGGTAAGCCAGCGCACTATCACTATGATATCACACATCTATCTAAAAATTATTCTAGTCTTAAATCAAACATTCAGAATCAAAAATTCTCTTAAGCGGAATTTATCTAGAATAACCAAAAAAAAAAAAAAAAAAACCCAAAAAAAAAAAAAAAAAAAAAAAACACGGAGACAAAGATTTGAAAGTAAAATCGAATATTTTCTTGTGTCAGTCCCAATTGAAAAGTACAAATTTAATTACGTTTAGATATCAAATGTATCTGTCTCATTTTCCCTCAGTCTGTACTCATCTACCCGAAGGAGTCAATGTTACTTATATTATTGTTTGTGTTTAAATATAATTGCATAGACAGTGTGTTTAAGCATCATTACAAAGGCATTATTTCTAGATACAATTACGAATTGCCATTGTGTTTAAGTATCATTATATTCACAAGGGATTAGGCGGGTAGAAATCGATGAGACACCCCACAGAGATTGAATGGAAGGGTGGGTAATTAAGGATGCCTTCACTAGTATTGATTCCAGTGGTACTCCAGAATAAGAAAATAATCCTTTCCAAGATGGCGTGTTCGAGTTCCAAGGCAATTTTTGTTTCATTGAAAAGTAAAATGGAACTAAATTACTTTGGTCCTCCATCCAGCAAACTTTAACTGTATATGATGTTTGACCTTATACAGTACGATGTCAACATAGTTAGTAATACAGGTTGATCATGTTTGAATACAATTTTTTTTTAAAGATACAGAAACATTGTATTCACTTTACCTTCATAAAAGTGGTGACAAAGCATATACAAGTAGGAGAAGGAATGGGGAATTAGGAAAATTACTATTTAGAAGCATTCTCCAATTTTTCATGTCATTCCCTTTCCATGACAAAATCAGGAATCCTTTATAGTGTTTCATATCATATTCATTTACCACTTGTAGTATGGCGTTACTACCTTTTGCTGACAGCCAGCGTTCCAAAGTGCTCTAGATTAAAGAAAATACTTTCCAGTTTTCAAAAATGTCCGTTTTTGTTATTAGTGAATAAATTAACCTGCATGTTAACCAGGGTTATATCAAAGTGTCTTATCTCAACAATTTCTTGCACTTTCCATCACGTGGTCAAAAGATATTTGATTTCAGCAGAGCTCATCTTTTCAGCATCCAACTATTCCTCTCTGGAATAAATGTCTTCTGCCGTTTCTTTTTTCTGTTGCTAGTGAAAGTGCTGAAGCTATTTCGTCGTCAGCCCAGTCCGTGTTCGGCACGGGTCCTGCGTTCGGTTTCCAAAGCAGAGTTCGAGTTCAGAGAAAAAATTCATATACTATTTTTTGCGTATTCCAAGCTGTTCGAGTTTTGAGGCTATAGATTCCAAGGAACCAATGTAATTAACCGATTTAATGACCTGTAATCAACGTCATTGCATTCAAGGCACTCTGAGGTGTAGCATAGCTTTCGTCGATACTGCCAATAATCTTTGTTGTCACACATGATGAAAAGTAACAAAAAATCTTCTTCTACGTTTGCCTTTGAAAATGAGATTTTCACTTTGTGTCGTTGTTCACAGCAAAATGTGATAGTTGTTTATGGCACTGGAGGTACATTGCGACATTATTTCTTGAATAGACGGAAGTTTATTGAAGGTAAACGCTTTGGAAAAGAAAATTGCTGTCTTTATTTGCACATGTGAACTGGCACCTGAGAGATCACATCAGGTCCTCCAAGACTGTCCCAAATAGAAAATATCAAGGCACAACGTTTGGCCAAGAGTAACAGTGCTGCAAACCCAGCTTTACGGTTCGCTGAGTTAATTACAAAAGATGATAAAATTCACACTAGAGACAACATGCCGATATAGATAATTTATCTCAAGCAAACGAAAAAAGAAGAAAAGGCAGAATTTACTTAAGTGATTGAAATGTTTCAAATTTTCTTGACATTTTGTCTTCCTAATACTTGACGATAAAGAGAACATTGTGACAGTCTACAATTGTGATCAGAACCTAATTTATTATGCATAAGTGTAATAATAATATCGCTTTTTACGTAGAAATTATCCGTATGAAAGCATGACAATAACACCCATTATGTGTGCTATATCAGCTCTGTGACTCAAAAGACAGTGAATGCGTTAACTGTTTCTTGATCCAGGAGTACCAGGCTGTGATTTCTGTTCTGGATGGTTTTGGTTTTGGTAACGTCATGCTAGTAATTTCGGGCATTTGTCGAACCCTGGAAGATTTTGAAGCTTTAATACACAAAATTTGAATACCTGCAGCATGTGAACAATTGGTAATCTCCATTTGGGAGCATATAAATGAATATGTTCCTTAAGATATCACTTTTGGATGTTTGTATCGGGAAAAAGGTTTGTGATTTTTTTAAAAACAATATTACAAAAAAAAAAAAAAAAAAAAAAAAACCTAAGAACAAAAAAAGTTATTATTCTTAGTAAAGAACAGACATGCTGAGGAAAAGGTCATACACCACAAAGCTTACATGCTTTAATGTCAGAAGATCAAAAAATACAATTACCTCAAAAAAAAAAAAAAAAAAAAGATCAAATAAAAAACAAAAACAGCTGAGATAATTACACCATAATTAGAGAAAGGAAACCCGAATGCAAGCAAGGGAATCCTATCATGTGGGTGTAAGTGAAGATTCCAGCCGCGTTTAAAGATCGATGGAAGGTAATTGCTGTTTCCTGGTTGTCCACCAGAGGAACAAACAAGATTACAGTCAATAAATGATTTACCTGATAAAACCCAATACACTCTTGCCGGAAATGGCTGCACGTCTGAAAGATGTGTAAAACTGGCATGATTACCTTATAAAACAACACACTTTCCTTTGTGCATAATTTTTAGGGGGTGTTCACACGGGGTTTTGTGTCTTAGGATTTAGGGCCGTATGTTGAGTGCAGGCTAAACATTTTATTGTTGCCATCAAAACTAACAATGCCATAACTTTACCGAGGATTTGAATCTAGCAACTGAGAGCCAAGTGTTCGGACACCTCTACCAGTGACTCCTCATTATGTGGCTCCACAAAATATTCACATAGTTTGTAATGTGATAATTATTATTAAAGCTTGCATAACAATGTCTAGTCTCTATTGACATAAATTATACGCATGTTAGACATGGATAGTAAACAGGCAATCTGAAAAAGTACATGTTTTTTTTTTTTTTTTTAAGAATGCGGACAATTTTATAGAGCAGTACAATAACGAACGAGACATTTTCTCGCTAGATCTAGGAACAACTTAAACTGATATAGAAAATAGTCGTAGACTGTGATCATGCCATGATCAAGAACTTACATCACATCATTCGGGGAATTACCATGCATGCTCCGTTCTCATCTTTAGCAGCCAGCGCAGAGTTCTAATACTGATGGTACCGGACATAATCTGGTTGTATGTCCGTCTTACCTTTCCTCTGAGTGTAGTGAGCCCACCAAACCCTCTGGTTACATCCAGTTGCCTCACTCTCTTCAGGCCATAATAATATTTTTTCTCTACTGATTCCGTTGCTTGTTCCCAAAGGGCCTGACCATATCTGCCTTGTCATTTATCAATTCATCACCCAGTGGTGCAGATCCAGCCAATCTGTTTGTTAATTACCCACCACGCCGGTATGGCCGGCTTGTTAGTTCATTCTACCAAGCCAAGTCTAGGAAAAACAGTACGGCATGATTTTGGCATTAAAAGGTGGAAACAAGTTCAACAGTCCCAATCGAAACTCTGTAGAAAACTGTATAACAGTGAAGGCAACAATCCATTTCAAATGTGTTAAATGTCATGACAAAAAAAGTGAACTCAAAAACATGGTTACAAATGGCAAGATTAGGGAGAAAGAGCAAGAGGACAGCGTACAGATAAATACCTATATGGCTTTGCTAGATGTATGGGGAGGGACAAAATCACTGACCTGATCAGAGATTCTTGTGTTCACCTATGATGGCGAAACACGACCCCTCCTCCCCCCTCCAACCTCATCTTTCTTTTATAGGCTTATCGACAAGGCACATAATGCTTGTGATGCGAAATAATTGAAGCGACGAGAAGCTGC